AGGGTTTATTCTGCGTTAACAACTTGCTGGATGTACATCATCTCTTACATAAACATTGATTAACAAGTCTAAATACAGCAAATCAAAAATGGTAATTTGAAACTCAACTGTACATACGTGAAACGAGAACAAACCTCAACATTTATCTATACTTTTAAGCTTTCGTTTACTGTATTTGTTGTTAGTCACATTGATCGTTGTTTAATGTGAATAACAGCCTAAATTAGTCTACACACGTCATTTGAATTTATATTTTCAGATCATAATATCTGATTTATAGGTCTAACAGGTCTCAAAGTTTTTGTCTCTGCATTTTTTTTTTCTAAATACCCCATATCACATTTTTAGGTAGGACATAGTGTACATATACCCCTGGTTGTGAATTAGCTTCCTCTCTGGTCCATAGATCATGTTCTTCATGGTGTATATATGCTCTTTTTTTGTACAGAATATACTTCTAAAGAACATCTTATTCAGGATCATTTATAAAACATGAGCCACTGCAGCTGTCGACTTCTTCATTCTTTTCAAGATCACTTGTTCACTTTGCTCACGCAGAGGCGCTCACCTCTCTCAATAGCCGGTAACCTCTCATACCTATTGATGATTAATGGGCAAATCTGTCACACCACGACCCGTGTGCACAGCAGCACTTTTAAACACTCCCTTAGAACTGCATATACGTCTTCTGCTCTTTACCCAAAGTCATTTGTGCTGTTGTCAGGGGTGATAAATGGAGTTTGGGGGACTGTGTGAAGCCAACAGAATTTGTTAGGTGAATTTAATTACTCGCAAATAATAATACAAAAAAAAAAAACAAACACATCTGTACACATCAGCGGCACTTACATCTTAGTACATTTGAGGTAGAAAATCTCATCTTTACTTTCTTCTGATATTATTACTATATTATCTTCTGATATATCTCCAGGAACTAATAAAAATAGCTCCATACACCACACCCCAAGGCCGGCACATCTGTCTGCGATCCTGGGGGTTTCTTGAAAAAGAGTTTTTGAATTACATCTCTGTCTTAAACCAGGAGTACGTCCACTGCAGGGGTTCCACACCTCCACAATGGCTCATCGATGTCGCTGTAAGAGCGAGAAATAGCAAACAGTTGATAGAGTGGCTTGGGATGTGTACCAGGACCAGGTGTTTCTTCTTTTTATTTATAATCACTTCATCACACTGAGCCTTATGAGCGAACGGTGGTGGCACCTTTTTAAGCTGTGGCTTTGAGACTCCGATAGTGTACGCTCTTTCTACTTTAATGAGGGAGATTGTGCCAAGAACTTATTCCAACTGGAAAGAGGCTTCTCTCAGGGCCCAAAGCCTTGTCAGTATCTAAGGGTGTATTCACACCTGCCTTGTTTGGTTCGATTGAATCGAACTCTAGTTTGTTTGCCCCCTTGGTGCGGACCTTTTGGGCAGGTGTGAATACAGCAATCGAACTCAGGTGCGGACCAAACAACCGAACCGAGACCCAGCTGAAGAGGTGGTCTCGGTACGGTTCCAAACGAACTCTGGTACGGTTCGTTTACGGTGTGAACATGAACCGACCCAATTGCAAGAAAGCACTGCGTCGAAAGAGAATATTGCGCGTCTTTCTGCACGTCGTGTGTGAATGTCTAATCGCGCAAAGATGCAAAAAAAATATCATTTGCGGTTCATAAAGCATTTGCAGTTCACCACCTTTTGGTGGTGGTTGACGAGTTTCCCCCTTAAAGCGAGTGCCGAGAAAAATTCTATATAAATGTAATGAATTGAAGAGTTCAGATGCAAAAACCTCTAAAAGCCATTTGAAATTTTCTTCTAAAATGACCTTTTTTATCGAACTTGTATATTTAAGTTCAGTAATTTCACTTAAATGACAATTAATTGGTAATCTTCATTGCCATTTAAGTGAAATTACTGAACTTAATATACTAGCTTGATAAAAATGATAATTTTAGAAGAAAACTTCAAATGGCACTTAGAGGCTTTTGCATCTGAACTCTTCAATTATTATTATTATTAATGTGATGCGTTAATTTACGTTAAACTGGACAAACTTAATCGCAAGCGTTAACATTGACAGCACTTGTTAGTAGGCTACACAATAAGAATCTCATTATTTGAATGAGTCAACATAGCCCCTCTCTATGAATGAAAACTTTATACCTTCTCCGTCTTCTGTGCAGTGCCACTTGTAATGCAAAATTGAGATGTTGCCCAGAGATAAAAAAAAAAAAAAAAACAGTAGATGGTCGAATGAAAAGATGCACGAGAGACGAGAGTTGTCGTATTTCCCCGCGTTTATAGAGCCACTCAAACGTTACACTCGTCGTCTTCTCAAAATCCGAATTACAACTTCGTATAGATGACATTGTATCATATGATACTCATTAGTTTCTTCATATTGCGTTTGTACAGAATTAACACAAAATTAGTAAAAGAACAAATATTGCAGTATGAAATATATGGAAATATCTCCATGCTGAGCCTTTTTTGCACTTCCTGATTTCCCTTGAGAATCCTTGTCCAATGAATGGACGACCTTAGCACACGTGTGTTTGGTTTACAAATTTTGGTTCACTTGCAAAAAGAGCAGTGTGAAAGCGAACCGTACCAAAAAAAAAATAATAATAATTTATTTGGTCCGGACCAAAGCAAGTGAAGTATCGGACTTTCCTGGTGTGAATACACCCTAAAACACTGTTGTTGGTCTCATTCTTCGATTATTTCTGGAAGTGTTCCATATTCACTTAAAAATGCAATAAAGAACTCCTGTACTCAAGAAGCCAGGTGCTGTCCAAAGTAACTTTGATCATTTCCATCTAATTTACAATTTGACGTTTTTTTTTTCTAAACTTTCGATCAAAGTCATCCCAAATCCCCTCTGGTGTCCCTCAAGGATCAGTCTTGGGCCCTCTATTTATTATTTATCTACTTCCACTTGGAAGCATTTTCAGAAAATTTGGCATTCACTTTCACTGTTAAACCGATGACTCCCAGCTCTACAGATAGATGAAGCAGACATCTGTTTTACCTTCCTTTCTCTCTAATTGTCTATAATTTTCTTAAACTTAACTCATTTTCTGAAACTTAATAGCAGCAAAACATAAATTCTTCTCATAGGTTAAATTGAATCTGGCTAAAGTCTAATGGCTTCTCTGTGTATCGATTATTCTCCAGTCTCCCTCTCTAAGCAGTTCAAAAGCCTGGGTATTATCTTTGACAGTTCTCTTTCATTTGAAGCACACATTAACAATCTTACTCGGACAGCCTACTTCAATACATAGCATGAACGGTCTTCTTCCTGCCCTCTCAATGAGGAACACTACCATTATGGTCCATAAGGCTCTTCTCTATGGCCTTCCTTTTAAGTTTTTACCTAAACTTCAGTTAGTCCAGAACTCGGCTATTTGAATCATTTCCAGAACTTATTCGGTTGATCACATGTCCCCTGTGCTCCAACAACTGCAATGGCTCTCTGTTAAGTAATGTATTAAATTGAATATGTTGCTCCTTAATTATGAGGCACTTCGCAACTTGGCTCCTTATGTGTCTGATCTTATTTCCATATACACTCCAGTCCATACTCTTAGAATATCTTCTGCATGCACTTTAGTTCTCTCACGCATTCATATGTCTATCATGGGGTCTCGAACTTTCAGCTTTCCTGCTCCTCATCTATGTGTGCAATTCACAATAATATGGTAATTTGTGGGGGATTGCGTCATGACAGGAGGAGCAGCACCAGGCTGGGAAGAGAATGATTTGTTATGATCATGGCTGCAGGCTAAAGAAGTTAATAAACTATAAGTTCCTGCAAGTAATGGACTCGAGAAAGAAAATGCGACAGTCTATGGAACTTGCTTCCACTGCATATCCGAAATTGTAACGCTCTTTCTGTTTTTAAGTCTCGTCTCAACTTTGTCTAAGAATTGTTTTTGGTGTTTTTAGGCTCACATTCAGGGCTTCTGTGTGTGTTTTTTAGGCCAAACTAATGGTCTTTTGTTGTTTTATATGTTCATTTGCTTAGAAGATGAAAAAGCCTAAATATAATATAATATAATATAATATAATATAATATAATATAATATAATATAATATAATATAATTCAGTGTTTTTAAATACGAAACCCAGTTAACAGGTAATGTTCTCAGACCTTTGGCTGGATTTTTGGCAAGGTTCTCTCAAAGTTATGAACAAATGTTCTTCCAGTAATGGTAATAAACAAAGTTATCTAGACTTTAATAATGCTCTCAAAACAGTAGCACAAAGTGTTATTTATAATTTTTTAATGCTTTAGTTGGACCTACATCTAACATTTTACTACTAGTTTCAAATTGTTCAGAGAATATTCAAAAGTAACATTTACCAAATGTTTTCAGAATGATAAAAGTGAACGCCCCCCCATCTCATCTGATTTTTGCAGATTATTTTAATTTATTAACCGTATTATTATTTTTATTTTTTTTGTTGTTCAATTTTATGTAATACCTCCATTAAGTTTATTAATTTAATTAAATTATATATGAAGAGTTCAGATGCAAAAGCCTCTAAGTGCCATTTGAAATTTTCTTCTAGAATGATCATTTTTATCAAGCTTGTATATTTAAGTTCAGTAATTTCACTTAAATGGCAATGATAATTACCTATTAATTGTTATTTAAGTGAAATTATGATATACATCATTAAAGAAGAAAATTTCAAATGGCATTTAGAGGCTTTTGCATCTGAACTCTTCATATATATATATATATATATATATATATATAATATTGAATAATATTGAATTCAGTTACAATATTTTAAAATTGGAAAAACAATGGCACTTAATTTTTCCTTTTTCCTTTTGAATTGATTGAAGATACAACCAAAAGCTCTCCATATTTTTTTTATTGCCATTTTCTAAGAGCTAGGTTTATAACTTTTTTTTTTTTTTTTTTTTGTATTTGTCAATATTTCATGTCCCTGACTAATTCTTTTGAAATTTCTGTTTGTTCCTCAGCAAGAAAAATAATAAATCTCACCATTGAAAACCAGGCATCTTTCAAGACAGTGCACAATGTTATTGGAACTCTCAAGGGCAAGACCAATCCAGGTAGGTCAGCACAAAACCAAGACAGCACTTATATAAACTGAATTATTATTTTTGTCATTGATGATGCAGGATTTTTTTTATTATTATTATTATTTAAATGTCAAAATACATCACATTTTAACTGCACAATATTGCCAGTGTATCCCAAGCATTGTCCTAAACCGTGGTGCTCTTTGGTCTGACGTAACAAAGACACAATACTTTGTCACAGTGCTTTACTGTATTCGTTATAGAGTGAAACAGGAGTGCAATCTAAGCATTCTCTCCTTCATCCGCTGAAAAAGTGAGAGTCCGGGGGGCGAATAAAGCCAAATCTGAGCCCACGTGCTGAAACAGCCCTTTTTCTTCCGTGCGCTATGACAAACTAATCTCTTAAAACAACGTCTGCCACCACTGTCCAAATGCAGGTCACTCGGCTGCTGAAAATAGGCTTTTAATTACGGACCACTATTTTCACCTTCAGGATGATTTAGTAATACATCTGATGTAATGAAAACGTTTTAATCTCGAACCCCCCCCCCCCCCCCCCCTGGCCGCATGACTGTAAAAGTCACTGTGTCTATGCATTTAAGCCCTCTGTGATTTACTTTCGAGATTTACAGCCCTCTTTTCCTGTCATAATTGGTCGCCCAGTCACTAAGTATTACAAATCATACGGAGGCGTCTCTTCTCCTTGACTTTTGTCTTTTTATAATGTGTTTACCTTTCATTTATCTGGCAGTTGGCTGTCTTGTTTATCATTTGATGTAATTGTAATAACTTCCCTTAAGACCGCTGTGGTATTCTTGAGTACAGGTGGGATGTAAAGTTCTTTAGTTCTTGCCTCTTGTCAGTTCGATGCGTCTCTCTAGCTGTCAGTCAAAGGGGACCCAGTGCCGCTAATAGCTTACGGCTAATTACATGAGGAATTGCTTCTTTTCTGGTCTGGATGTGTGTGGGGGATTGTGTTTGAAGGCAGTGTGTGTGTGTAAATCAGGAGAAACTTTAACCTTGCTCTGGCCATGGGCATCATGTGTGTATACTGTACACAATACACACAGACTCTACAGTAACTGCTGATCTATGATCTATTTCCATTCCTCAAATCCTAATCTAAAGGAAGTTAACTTTAAAATAGTGGGTACAGACACCATTTGTGTGTGTGCTAGAGAAAATATTATAAAATAGTTAAGTATGTGGATTAAAATAGCGTAACGTATCACTCTTAGAAAAAAGGGTTCATTGGGGTTCTATATATGAAGAATAGGGTTCTTTACTCAACTCCAAAGAACCTTTTATGCTAAAAAAAGGTTCCATAATGACAAGAAAGAACCATTTTGGCTTCTTTATAGGCTGTTATTCATTCATATATTACATTATTCTGCTACATCTTGTAGTTGTAATTAAATTATTGTTTATTAAACTGTTGTAGTAACTTAATATCACATTTTAATCATACTGATTTTTGGAGGGGAAAAACTGAAATGGCACTCTTTGTGTGATATTGACTACATAAAATTATATAAATATATACATTTTCTAATTCCCATATTTTGAATTTTGAGATCATTCACGTGCATTCATAAATACTTTTTAGAGTCTTTATGTTTGTCAATAATATGAAATATTTAATCCAGAAAGGACAAAACAAATGATAATGAATGAACCCTAACCTTTTTCCTGGTTACAAAGAACCCTAAAGGGTTTTTATTATTGAACCCTTATAAAGGGTTCTGGATAGCGGTTCCAAATATGTAGCGCTGAAAGAGCCTTTTAAGGTTATATATAGAACCTTTTTTTCTAAGAGTGTAGCATTAAAAGCAATGAGAAGAGTAATCTAAGTAAACTACTATTCAAATGTTTGGGGTCAGTGGGTTTTTTTTAATGTTTTTAAAACAACCCTCTTATGCTCACCAGGGCTGCATTTGTTTGAAAAATTCAGTAATATTGTGAAATATCATTACAATATAAAATAACTATTTTCTATTTTAAAGGGTTACTTCACTGCTTGCAAAAATGCTTTCAACAAAACTTGGCTGCCTGACCAAAATTGGTGCTACCTGATTAGATAAAACTCCCTTTTGCCAAATAGGTGAAAACTTCAATAGCCACAGTGTACTGGCCATGTTGGTTTCCAAGGCTGCTCTCTCACCAGCCTGCTATGGATTTGTTTACCAGAGACAAAAGCTGTATTAAAAAAAAAAAAAAAACTCATTCAGTATTCCCTTCAGTAGTCCACTAACATAGTCCCCTTGAAGGAGTGAATACAAATGTATAAACTGGCAGCTCCAGTAGTATTGAAAACATTTGTCTTTGTGAAAATGTTTTCAGAAAATGTTTTCAACAGTCATGGAAACTATGTACAAGTCTTATTTAAACAATTGAGTAATCAATTACAAAGGATTTATACCTGTATGATATTACACTGTACCCACATTGGTCCAGTTCGCAAAATGGATGAATTATTCAGCTGTGGGTGCCATCTTTTGGCGAGATGCAGGAATTCATTCTCCAGTGACTCTAGCTGTAGAGTGTACATCGGTTCTGTATTTGGCACCCCTTTCCGCTGATTGGTCAACCAAAAGTCAAGCCATGCCGTCAAGCCGTGCCGCCTTCACTCGCTCTCACCAGCTCAGAGACTTGGTTTGATTGGCAAGGTAGTTTGTGACGTGAGAAACACCAGTGATTTCAGACTGCGTTTTTTAGACTTTTTTTCACTGCAGTTTTAAGTAGAAAATACAATTGACTTGTGCATTTGCAAATGGTTTGTCTTAAAGCATATTACAAATTAAAAAAAAGACACCACTAAACTTGATTTTCACCACAGAGGGACCTAAAAATGTTTCCTATGGAACATAAGAATCTAGAAGAATTTAAGAATTGGTTAAAAAAAAAAAAAAAAAAAACCCTAGTTTTCATATTCTGCACATAGTCTTTACCCTGCAGTTGATAGACCTTCCACCTTGTGTGAACATTTTTGTTGGTGCGTGAATGTTTGCTTGTTTCTTGTTTGTGTGTAAGTGTTCCCGCTCTGTTTCCCCCTTTAGATCGATATGTACTGGTTGGCAGTCCTCATGGAAGCTGGTACAAGGGTGCGTTGGCGGACTGGAGTAACGGTTCTGCAGTCATGACTCAGATCATCGCCTCCATGACGGCTCAAACCCGTGCGGGCTGGCTGCCTGACCGCACCATCGTCTTCTGTTCCTGGGGTGGGACCTCATTGGGCAACATTGGCTCCTATGAGTGGGGGAAGGTAATTTTTAACTATTCCAACCCACAGGCTCTTTGGAAAAACATGCCTATGGTGACATTTCCGCTAAATGATATTTCATTGCTTCCTGACACATTTTGCAACTTTGAACAAATGAATGAGAGTGAAAAACCTTTTGAAAAAAGCATACCACCAATTGCCCAAAAGCATGGCAAAAGGCACTCTGATGACGTCATTGTGTTTGTTATACAACAAACACAAACAATAGTGCATAAAACACCAACATTAAACATGTAGTACAGAAAAAAAAAGTAGTCAAATGGAATATTGCACTAATACGAAATAAACAGTTCTCAACCCCAAGGCGTCACCTAACTGACGCCTTGGGAAGCATTTTGACCATGCTTCAATATCTGACGCTTTAGGCGCCCTTTAGCGTCAGTTAGATGACGCCCTAGGATCGCGTGTAACCCTACACCCACCCCAGACCTAAACCTACCCACGTCATCTAACTGACGCTTTTCCTTTAGCATCAGTTAGATGACGCCGTAGGATCGTGTCATGTAACTGACGCTAAAGGGTGCCTAAAGCGTCAAATATTGAAGCATGGTCAAAGGTGACGCCTTGGGGTGAGAATGCGTTGAAATAAATTGCACTAAACCTGCTAGTTGCAAAGTGAAGAATGAAAAAGCACCCTACAGGACTGTATGTGTACATGTATCAATGTAGCAGAGAGGGATCAGTGCATATTAAGAGTTCATGATGGCGATGGCTGTGGGGAAGAATCTGTCCTTGAATCTTTTTGTCCTCGTTTTGATGGACCTGTAATGCCTGCCTGATGGCAGCAGGTCAAACGATTTAAACCCGGGGTGTGAGGAGTCCTTTAAAATGTTTTTAAAATATTGAGGCATCGAGAGTTGTACATGTCCTTCAGTGATGGAAAGGGGCATCCAATGATCCTCTTTGTGGTATAAATTATCCTCTAAAGCCCCCTCTTATCTGCCTCACAGCAACTAGCACACCACACTATGATACAATGATACCAGCAGCTTTTCACCCACATTGTTTTTCCTGAGAAGTCATAAGAAGTGTAGTCACTGCCTATGCTTTTTTTATGACCACTGTAGTGTTTGCAGTCCCGGAGAGGTCAGCAGAGATAAAAAGTCCCCAGAAATTAAAAATGTTGGTCCATTCCAACACAGTCCTCATTGATATTATGGGGAAACAGATCCATCTCACGCTTCCTGAGTCTATGATGAGCTCCTTCGTTTTTTGAGGTGTTTAGAGTCAGGTTGTTGACTGAACTCCATGATGTTATTTTCTGGACCTTGTCTCTATAAGAAGCCCAATCACTGCCGTGTTGTCCGTGAATTTGATGATGGTGTTAAGGCCATTGCACACTGAGTACGAAATTTTCGTATGCGTATTTTCGTGTTCGTCAGCCTAGAAATTCGTCACGCACAGAAACCTTGCACACCGAGTCCGTTGCGTGTTTATTAAACCTTTGCGGGAAAAAACGCAAAAATACCAAATGGATTCGTCAAGCAGTGAGGATGATTTTTGCCCTCTCTCTTATTGAAAATATTACGTCCATCCAATCCTGAGATTGCGCCGAGAGGAAGGAGCGTTCCACCTTATCATGGAGTTGCGAATTTATCCTGAGCGATTTAAAATTTACCTCAGAATGTCAGTGGGACAGTTTGATGCTTTGCTAGCGATTCTGGAGCCACATATTAAAAACAAGACCACCAATTTCCGTGAACCAATCGATTCTGAACGGAGAGACTGGCAGTGTGTCTGGTATGGACCAGGTATGGACACACACACAAACACACACACACCCGCGCGCGGCCCGGTGGAAGCGCTGGGCAGACAGAACAGCTAGGCTGTTATTGTGTATTGTTTATATATTGTGCCCAAATAATACATTAGTTATCGAATAGGCTGCTCAATCACACCTTATTCGATCCTAAATTTCAATCTGACTGAAAGGGGAGGTTTATTAATTTCATAATCCAATATAGAGAAGAAAACAAACACTTGATCGAATTGAAAACCGAAACTGAAAGCACGGCGCATATGTGCAATGATTTGAGGACGAGCTCCCTCCGGCCCTGAATTGTCAAAAGACCTCTCAAAATGCTGGCTCTGGATGCGAAAAACGCAGAAAATCGAACCCGATCCGATTAATTTTATGACGAAAGTTTCGGAGGCGGTGTGCAAGCGTGACTGATATAACGTGAGGTTGAATTTTTTATTTTTTTAACGTGCGAAAATTTCGGATGCGAATATCGTACGCAGTGTGCAATGGCCTTTACTGTGGTGGACTGTACTGCAGTCATAGGTGTAGAGGGAGTAAAGTAAAGGACTCAGCACACAGACTTGGGGACAGCCAGTGCTAAGTTTCCCCTGTTATTCGGTAGAATTCGTTATTCCTTTTGAAGCCATTATCTGTGCCTTTCGCGAACATTTTAGGCTAGGCTATTCAGTATTCGGTTATTCGGTAGATCCGTACGCAACATGACGGTAACAGTCCCACTTTCAAGTAGTCTACATCAAACAAGTAGCCTACATTCATGCACTTCAATGCTCAAAAATCTGAAGTTTCGTGATGTAGGAAAACTAACACTTTTATTTTAAATTCTAAAAAGTCATTAAATTACCACTATAGCCAGCAGAATAGTGACAAGCAATCACTGTTATAACATTTAAATACCTTTTTTTGTGTATTTTTGTACGGATGTTGGAATGTATGTAGTCACAATGTCTCATGACAAACGAAAACGTTTCTTCGAATTGCGAATGAAATTAGCGCTTAATCCCTGAAGCTACCAGACAGACAGTTCGGCACAAACTCATTGACTGTGAAAACTCCAGCTTTCAAGCAAGTTTACTTAGTCAGAAAAACCGTACATATGGAGCTGTACGCATGTATCATGAATATGTGAAACATCACACATCTTCAATTAATTTTAACATGAAATTCAGCGTTTTATCGCATTGTTTAAGTAAATCATGTGTAGTAACAAGACAAATTAGTATGTGTCCTTCATCACCCCTACATGACCTCCGGGTCATATTGTAGCCTATGTGTTTAAGCTGCATACTTTTATTATAGATTTAATAATGATGCTATTTTTTGTCAAAATAAACAACATAGCTTATAGAAATCCCTGGCAATGCTAAAAGTTGAGTTTAGCAGGAGGTCAAAAGCACTTCCGTTTTTCTCTTCCTCAGTTTTGACAGCTAAAATGAAGGAGGGAAAACAAAAATAGTACAGATTAGCCTTGAGCAGCCATACAAAAGCTTGCTAACATGATCATCAGGCCATGAAGATTCAATCAGACAGATGGATGATTTTGGAGTGTTAATGAAATTATTCTGTTCGGCAGTTTATTCTAATCAGTACAATACAAACGTCATCATTAATCTTAAGAAGCCCCAAATAATGTCACAATAAATGTATATTTTTTGAGTATGAGGAAGACAATAATGGTTGCTATTATTCACAATGCTCATTTCACAAAATTGTATTGTCTCACTGGGGGTTTCTCAGGCATTATGTCAAAATATCAATCAACGATCTGACATTTCATCAGTTGGATGCAGACAGCTTTGTTCTGTGTGTCTGTACAGGAGAACGCAGTGGTACTTCAGAGCAGGGCATTGGCTTATGTCAGCCTGCACAGTCCCGTCAAAGCCCCTGGATCCCTGCAGTCCACAGCATCACCTTCTCTTCTGCAACTGGCAGCTGTCACCCAAAAGGTATTTATACTATACATATATACATTTATTCATTTAGCTGACGTTTTCATCCAAGCGACTTACAATTGCTATATGTGTCAGAGGTCGCACGCCTCTGGAGCAACTAGGGTTTAAGTGTCTTGCTCAAGGACACATTGGTGTCTCACAGTGGATTCGAGCCCGGTTCTCTCACACCAAAGGCATGTGCCTTATCCAGTGTTGGGAAAGTTCACTTTCTACATGAACTAGTTCAGGTCATAGCTCATACTTCAAAAAAATAACTAGTTCATTCATAGTTGTTTTTTTTTGCCACAGCCCATATACAACCACAGACAACAATTATTTTATCGACGGGCAAAGTTTGCACAGAACTGTAAGATTTTTCCCATCCTCACCGACCTCGTCATAAAATCCATTTAAATGATCATACGACACCTCCTCGTTCGCTGCTTTGTCGACGGCGGCCACGGTGCGACACTGGTGTCTTGTGTTGCCAGATTTTTCGCTACACATTAAGGCCTGTTTACGTGTGTTTTAGCCGAGTTTTCGCCTGGAAGGCTCTATAGAAATCTGGCACCCTATTATACGAAGTTAAACTGAGAGAGTGTGCATTCACAGACACCAGAATGAACACGTTCACAGTAACGCTCATCAGGCAGTAATACAGTACGTTCAGTTCACGTTCGCCCAAAATATGAACGCGTTCAGGCACAACACTGGTCTTATCCACTGCGCCATCACGATATATACAGTATATATATATATATATATATATATATATAAATATATATATTCTTGTATATCCACTCGGACATGATACATGCAAATAGGACAGAATATAATCATCATATGTTACAGAAAACCTACAGGAATCCCAATTGTTGATTTAAAAATTCTGCTTTCCCATTGTTGATTAATTTCATGAAAAGAGACACCAGTGATTTTGCCAAGAGAGCTCACGTATTTATTTATAATTTTTAGAAGACATAGGAGGAAGAGACTATTTACAAACAGAGGTCTTTGTCATCTCTTCCTGTTTACCGAACAAAAGGGCTCAGTCTTTATACTACTGACCAAGAAAAAAAAATTGCATCACCATAGTAACACATACATTACCAATGGAATGTAATACACATTACATTAACAATGGAATGTATATCCAATCCCGGTGGAAACTATAAACTACATATACTTTCCGTCTCACTCCAATGTACATTCTCTCATGCAGTCTAACTTATCACAAAGTCTCCTACTGTAAAGTCTCTCTTTTTCCCACATCTACAAAACATTATAATTCACAAAATGTAATGATTACAAACGATTATGTATGTATACAAAAAGAGATAAAACAGATAGATAAAACTTCTGATTATGAATATTAATAAAAAGTAATAATAGTACTAAAAACAACATTTAATTAAGAGATGTTCAATCTTCACAAATCATCACTACCCATATGGTGCTGGAGAATATCTTGCTAGCTGTTTGGCCTTCCTATTATTCAGATCTACCCTTACAACAAATCTAAGCACACGCCCCCCATTAAAGTCATAGAACCGCTTAAAAACACAACATCTATCCACCCACAAAAATATTTGTTTGTTTGTTTTTTCATTTGGTTGCATTTATTGTCATGCGCTGCACGCAAGTATGGGTGAAGTAAACATCTAGATGCTTTGCTACAAGCCGCCTCTGTAGGACCGACTAAACCATGACACAGACCTTCTTCAGAGATGGTATTCTCGGAGCATCCACATTGTTGGAACTCTTCTGCATCATCAGCAGGGGTCTCAGGGTCTCAGGTGTTTCGCCCCTTAACCTGAACACCTCGCCTGAGTGGGGCCGTGAAGACTGACTAGCCTTCACCTGCAGAAGGGCTCCAACTGTGGGCTCTTTTCAGCCACAGCCATCTTGAGCTAGACTCGGCTGCTTCGGCTATGTCCCTGGTAGCTTCCTTCAGCTGTTTATACTCCAGGCCCATCCTCTGGAGGAAGTAGCGCACCGATTTTGCTGGAAACCCGCGGCACCCGACTTCAATGGGGTAGCTGGTTGCATGCCATCCCTTTACATTGGCTTCGTCAATCAGATCTTGGTACTTCGCTTTTTTTAGTTGGTGTGACGTGGCTAGCCTTTCCTCCCAGGGCACCGTGAGCTCAGCAACTATGATGGATTTCGTGCTCCTGGATAGCAGAACCATATCTGGTCGGAGGGAAGTCGCTGCCACGTCCTGTGGGAAGACAAGCTTCTTCTTCAGGTCTACTCTTAATTCCCAGTCGGAGGCTCGTTGCAAGGCGGAGGGTGGGTTCTTGGCCACCATGCCGGTCTTATGGGCCTTGTCTCCTTCCCTCACAAAGGTTGTGACTTGGGGCGGGCAGGCCTGCTTGTTGTTGGCTTTGACTCGCTGCTGTTCCACCCATTTGGCAATTTCCGCGAGGACTTTGTCGTGCCTCCATCTGTAACGGCCCTCTGCCAATGCCCTTGGACACCCGGCCAGAATGTGGTTCAGCGTACAGGAAGCTGCTCCACATTGGTTGCAAGATGGGTCTTCCCCTCCGCCCCAGATCTTTATATTGCTTGGTGTTGGCAGCAGGTCAGCCACTGAGCGCAAGAGAAAGCTTAACTTCCCCTGGTCGATTTGCCACAGATCCTTCCAAGACAATGGTCGCTCCTGTGCCTGGTCCCACTGCGTCCATCGACCCTGAGAAGCAAGTCCAATCGCCTTCACCTGACGCTCCTCCTCTGCTGCCTCACGGACTCTTTGCACCACGAGACCTCTCCTGGCTCTGGTATCAGCCCGGCTCCACCTCTTCTCACTATAGTGTCCAAGGCCCAGGCGTCCCTGGCATACCACGCCTACGATTTCCTGGTGTTTCCAGTAGGATTCTGCTTCCATTACGGCTTGCTGAGGCTTCCACTTTCTGCCACATTTAATGGTCTTACTTGCGTGCCTTACTTTCCCATCTTTAGATGAGAGCAGTGTACTGACTGCCCTTGCTTTGGTGGCTTTAAACTCCTCGGCCACCGACGAGACTGGCAAGGGAAGTTTACAAGTCTTGCTATACAGGTTGACTGCGCTGAATGATGGGGGGACTCCCAACCATTTCCGCAAGTACTTGCTGCACAGTCTTTCCATTCCTTCCACCTGGGACATGGGAAAGTCGTAGAGTAGAAAGGGCCATTTTAGCCGGGGTATGATGCCATACTGGAAGCACCAGACTTTGAATCTCCCGAGCAGTTGGCTGTGCTCGACTGCCTTGAGCCAGATGTTCAGCTGGGCCTTGGTATTAGTGAGGTTGCCACTGTCCTTTAGGGAGCTGTCGTACTGCTTTCCAAGGCATCGGATCCTTTGATCTTGGATTGTTGGGATATCCGAGCCTTGGATGTTGAAAATGTTTCCTGTTAGCTTCCCCTTCAAGATAGTGAGACTCCTTGACTTTTCTGGTTTGAACTGCAGGCGTGACCATGCTGCCATCTTTCCCAGTGCACTCAGGATCCATTGTGTCCCCTGAATAGATGGAGTCATCACTGTCACATCGTCCATGAAAGCTCGACAAGCAGGGTGTCTCGTTCCATCGACTGCTTTCGGGCCTCTGCACTGCATTCCTCCTGCCTTCAACAACAGATTCATAGCCGCTATAAACAGGGCCACGGAAATCGTGCATCCTGCCATGATGCCCTTCTCGAGCCTTTGCCATTTAGTGGTGACGCTTCCTATGGTGAACCTCATCTGCAGCGCATCCATGTGTGTCATTATGAGCTCGACTACCGCTGAAGGAACTTGGTAGTAGTCCATTGCCTTTCGAATCAGCTGGTGCGGGACACTTGGGTAGGCTTTGGCGAGATCCAGCCACACAACGGAGAGAGTGTTGTTGTTACTTCTGGCTTCGTTAATCAGCTGGCTAATCGCTGCCGTGTGCTCTAGGCAGCCTGAATATCCCGGTATTCCACCTTTTTGGATGCTGGGGTCAATAAACTCGTTGGCGAGCAGGTATGTTGTTAGCCTTTTCGCGATGATAGACCAGAATATTTTCCCCTCTACGTCCAGTAGGGAAATCTCCCGGAACTGTTCAAGTCTTGTGGAATTTAGCTCTTTTGGCACAAAGCAACCTTCAGCGAGGGTCCAGAGCCCGGGTTCCAGCTTCTTCTTCCACAGCGTCCGTAGGAGCTTTGAAAGCCTTTTCAGCAGCTGTGGGCAGCATTTGTAGATTTTGTAGGTGGTTCCTGATGGTCCTGGCGCTGATCCGGCTCTTGCTTTTCCCACCACTGCACTTACTTCATCCATGGTAAAGTCCGCCATGCTAAAGGGGGTGTGTGGTGAAAGAATCGGCAGTTGGAAAGGGCATTCACCCAGAGGGATACTTCTGGAGGAGTCTCCATGTGCACCCGCCACACTGTCTTCTATTTCCTCCTTTGTACATGCCAGGGTCCCACCCTTCGGCTTTCCTAGTAGGTCCACTGTGAATTGGAATGGGTTGTTGAAAAAGGCTTTCCTCTTTCGGCGCTTCTCCCTCTGCTTCTCCCGCATGGTCTCAGCTCTCCGAAGCTGGATTAACCTTTTCCGCTTTTCTCTGCTGATCTCATCCAGGGCAACTCTTTCCTCATCACTTGCTTCCCGCCACCTTCTTTTAAGTGTCCTTAATTCTCCTCGAAGTTCTTTGATCTGCCGCTGTCTCCTGCTAGGCCCTGCTGGTGGCCTTGGAGTCTTGCGTTCTTTTTCGCCAAAAGTGTCATGGCACACCTGGTACACAATGTCCACCATGATCTTGATCTTCTTGACTGCGTCTCCTTTCAGAGTGTTTTCCAGGGTGATATTTAAATCGTCGTCCAGTTGGGCCCATCGGCAGTCTGTTGCTGGTGGTAAGTTCAAGCGTGGTTTCCTCTCAAAGTCTTTTGGACTTTCAGGTTCACCGACTCTCTCTGTGCTCTGAGTAGGTTGAGCAGGGAGGTCTGGGGCACTGTGGTTTGCCTCCTGGCCCTGGTCCTCCCCCACCGACTGATGAACACCCTTAACAAACTCAGAG